ACCATTTGCTAATATCAGCATAAGACTGAGATCCTGAGGTGGGTCTCTCTCTGATCATGAGACCACACTCTGAATCGCTCACCTGAGACTGAATCAACTGCTAATAAACCCGACCGATGGAAGATGGAATAGTATACAATCTCGGGCCTCGTCCATCCTAATTGACAGAAAGGGATGTTGAGAAAAAGCAACCTTCGGAAACAATGATGGAAACTACCAACTGACCACCTGGATCCCGTGCGAGCGCGCGGGGTCCAAGAGGACCGTCGGTAGCCTGAGGAAAGCTGGAGACATTCTCCGCAATCCACGAGAGCCTGGGATTTCGGAGGCGGTCAAATCAGGCCTCTCGACGACCCGAGTGATAGGACAATCGGAAGTCTCGAAAAACCAAGAAACTACCAATAATGTAGATAACGGTAAATACGTACCTCGGGGCATCTGAGCACTGGTCCCTGCTTGTGCGAAATTCCCCTTGGAGATGTGCCACCGCCGGGTTGGAGTAAACCATGGTGGCGCGCCCTGGGATCCTCATTAAAAAACAAAACCTTGCCCCTCAGTGCATGAGGTTTAGGGCCTTCACCCTTCCAGTCATATTGAGATGCCCGTATACTGGTGTCCTCTTGGATAGTAAGGGAGCAGTGCTTTCCTGGACACCCACCCATCTCCATGTCAATAGTGGGTACTGGGCTTTTCTCAGTTATATCCTTCCAGACCTGTGGCCAAAAGGGGTTTCGGGCCCAGATAGCTCAGACCTAACAAAGGGCACAGATAGAGCAGGCCAGTCAGAAGGGCATGTACATAGCAGGCCAATCAAATGGGCACAGACCTAGCAGGCCAATCAATGGGGCACAGACATAGCAGGCCAATCAATGGGCACAGACTTAGCAGGCCAATCCTGGGTTGCATATAAAATGAGTAATGGGGACCCCTGAGTTTGGGCAGAGTCCCCTAAATATCTATAAATCCTCAGGGTATCCTGAGACATAGGACCCCTAGACACCAACCTTTTTAGACAGCGTAATACAGTGTGAATAACCTGAACCGGGACTGGCAGTCCTTAAATGCCCAGCAAGCAAAATAGTGGTATTCCAGCTGTATTGGGCATAAGCTGAAGTTGTTCCAGTGATTATAGTGTCCATAAAATCAGGATATACTGAGCGACATCTTCCTTAAGCTGTGACTTGGTATGGACATGCACATACAGATCTGTTTTGAGATTTCTTCTCTTTATCATAGATCATTATACCACCTGAAGGGTATTGTACCAATTGTCTCTTTCAGGAGTAGGGCTAAACCATAGACAACTCAATGAATCTCCCCATAGAACCTGATAAAATAGAATAATATCAGTGTAGACCAGGGCCAGTTTGAGCCAGGGCCAGGTCTGATAGCTTTAAACATCTGCCATGGACAGTGAATTCATACCAGAGTAGTCTTATCTGGGACTCCATAGCTGGGCCAGCCAAAATATATACTGTGAAGCACATCCATCCTAGAGCTAACTTGCAAATTCACTATGTATACACCCTATACAGAGCTGGTGCAACTGAGATCCATATATACCTGTAACTCCCAGATTGAGATAAACACTGTCAGTAAACTCCCAGAAATCAGACCCTGGGGAGATAGCACAGCTAAGCGGACAAGGGCACATGTAGGAGTGTGGGGATAGATGCAAGGGAGTGACTTGGATAATGTGTGTGGGAGGGGTTAGGCTCAATATAAGTTAGCGTGGGGGAGGTCTTACCTCAGTGCCACTTGGGATTCGGGCCAGCAAACAGCTTCCCGCCCACCCACCCCTTGTAGGATTAGTTAGTCACAGCGAGGCGGGGGTATGTCCTTGCCAATTAAGTTTGAAGGGTTATGTTTAAGGATGGAGTAAGTTCATTATGTTTGCAGGTCTCAACCTCCCCTGCTTCAAACGGTTAACATTAGGTTGCCTGAGGTGTCGTGCCCATCGAGCGTGGATAAGGTCGGCTGATGGCGGGCATTGGAAAGAGATGATTTATGACGAGGGGGGAGGTGAGAGGAAGTGGTGTTTAGGAACCACTGTATGTTTATTGGCAAGGACGGTTGGGTCACTGCATAACACTGTGTTGAGTAATATGTTATATGTTAATTTATGATTATTTATTTCGTTACAGAAAGAAGAGATTTAATAAAAAGTTATGGATGTGTTATGCAGTTATTTATTGATGTTATAATAAATGCTGTGGCCTGTTCATCCATACTAAGTTGTTTGTCGTTATTGGGGGGTTTAATGGGGCTAGATTTGTTCTAGACTGCATCGCGATTCCCCACTACGTACCTACATGTGCTATATACTGCCATAAAGCACACAGAATCTGTGATATATACCCTGTCATTAAAACTCACAGTAATCTGTGATATATACTGCTATAACACTCACAGCAAGCTGTGATATATACATTGCCATTGAAGCTCAGGATCTGTGATATAAACTGTCATAAAAAACTCACAGAAATCTGTGACATATACACGGTCATGAGAACTCAGTAATCCGTTATAAAAACTGTCATAACACTCACAGCAAGTTGTGAGAAATGCACTGTCATACAAACTACAGTAAACTGTGATAAGTCATATCTGTAGGTAAAACTACGGTAAATATGTTGAGATCCGCCGGTGAATCCCAGCAGGGCAACAATAGCCGAGATCCGACCACCGTGCAAGGAGGAGGGGCCGCGAGCAGGCGCCCCTCCTCTAACCGGTCGGATGCACGTGGCTCTATGAAGAAACCGGCCGTGGCGAGGCGGCCACGTGTGTGAGTCAACCCGGTCACCAGGTACTCGCGTCTGACCGCGAGAAAACCCGGGCGCCAGCAGGCTCACACCAGAGCTCGGGGAGTCAGAGGAGGCAGCCAAGCGGCTAGTCTCCTGACATCCCGAGCGGAGCGCCCATAGCCCGCAGGGGGGACTAATAGAATGGCGCTAGGTAATGGGGAAGGGGGGAACAAACTAACAGGAAACCCCAGGAACCCCTCTAAAACCGCCACATGAAGAAAACATCCCCAAGAACAGGAGAAGCAGGAGTAAAAAACGGGTAGTAATCCTGAAATGAATAACAAATATAAAACAAAATACAATATATAACTAATAAATAAATAATATGAAGTGAAATATAATGGTTAACTAAATACCATAAACATAAATGTTGCAATCGGTAATTAGAGGCTCTCCTAGGTGGCCGTCGTTCGACTACCGACCACGCGGCGGTCGGCCATCTTGGATCCTTTGTTCCTCCAGCGGTGCTCGTTCGTCGAGCGCATGGTACTGAAATCCGTTATAAAAACTGCTGGACTTCCAGGCCGTTCGGGAGTTCCGGGCTTTTCGGTATTTTACTCCCCGTATGCCAATTGGTCTTTTGAATGTATGTTTTGATGAATATGTTTTTCGTGGGCATTCGGTTGTTTTAGCTAGGATCTGAGCGGTAATCTCACGAACTATGTGCTCAGACCCCAGCTATCTACCGAACGTCCATTCGTGTAAATCAACCCAATATTGAGAAAGTTGTAAATTTTAATGTGAAATGCCGGTTCTGCTGCACAGAGGGATAATCCACTTAACGGTACATTCCAGTGGGAGGATCCCTCTCGTGCAGCAGTGCCTGATGGGAGAATTGCCCTGTACATTAAGTTTCCCATGTAGTCCACTCCTGTAATACCCCTGTGATGTGACTCAGGAAACCCCTTGCATGGGGAATTGTATAAATACTGGAGCATGTGAATAAAGACCTCAGTTGACTCCCAGAACTGTGTTTCGCCCGGTTACTGGGGGATTTGGGATATTGCCTTGCTTTTCAGCGCTGACTGTGGATTACTGTATGTACCAGCGGGATTCGTGGGATTTAATATTGCCGATCCGCTACAATATATATATATATATATATTTATTTATTTATTTTTTTAATTGGGTTAGCCCCCAAAATATTGGGACATATAGAAAAATAAACATTTGCGGCCTGCGGTGCATTTCTTGCAGTCCTGATGCATTGAGAAATGCTCAACTCCGGATGCATGGAGAAAAGGCCTTCACAAGCCTCTGCTATTGTGTACATAGTTTATACTACGTGACCCAAAGGTTGAGGAGGCGGTGACTGTGGCGGTGTAGGTGGAAGTGGAGGAGGTAGCCAACACTGTTTTCTGTTTGTTTTTTTGTTTTTCTTTATATTTTTTATTGGGGTAGCCCCCAAAATATTGGGACATATAAAAAAAGAAACATTTGTGGCCTGCAGTGCATTTCTTGCAGTCCTGATAAATGGAGAAATGCTCAACTCCTGATGCATGGAGAAAAGGCCTTCACAAGCCTCTGCTATTGTGTGCATAGTTTATAATACGTGACCCATAGGATGAGGAGGCGGTGACCGTGGCGGTGTAGGTGGAAGCAGCGGTGGAGGAGCAGGAGGAGGTAGACAACACTGTTTTATATATATATATATTTTTTTTTATTGGGGTAGCCCCCAAAATATTGGGACATATAAAAAAAGACAACTCCGCAGAGCGACTAACCAGTGTGTGCTGCAGCTGAAACTCCACTATCGCCTGCTGCTGCTCGCACAGTCTCATGAGGAGAAGGACGAAATTACAGGCGAGCAGCAGCAGGAGATGAGGAGGAAGTGCACAAGGAGGTGTAACGGCGCCTGGCATATTACCGAGAGCCCCTCAGAGAGATTGTCAGCAGGACCTTTTTGGAAGTGCAAGCCTATGTCCTTGCCAATAGACAGAGGGTGACCTCCATGAACCCAGATGAAGGAATAAGGGAGCAGAGGGTGCCGGGAAGCACAACCACCTTGGCCCACAAGCTACCATACAATGCCTTCAAAGACTTCAAGGAAGGCATTGATTACTTTTTTATAAGACAATGGCCCACAAGCTACCATACAATGCCTTCAAAGACTTCAAGGAAGGCATCGATGACTTTTTACAAGACTTTGTAAAAAAGTGCCTACTCCAAGATGTGGACCCCAGCGACTGGGTCACCATCCTGGCCAGCAAACTAGTGGGGAAGGCAGCGGATATTTACCGGGCTGTACCAGAAGAGCAGATCAGAGACTATCCCTTTATTACCCAAATCCTCCTGGCCCGGTATGCGGTCACCCCCGAGCAACACCGCCAAAAGTTTAGGGAGACCCGGAAAGGGGAGAAGGACTCCCATGCGGAGTGGGCATGCCACATCACAAGGGCCACCCAGAACTGGCTCAACTCCCATCAAGCCAAGTTCCCGGAGGAGATCACCCAGCTCATCATGCTAGAGCACGTTTTCAATGGGCTCCCCAACGACAAGGCGATGACGCATTCGGATGTCATCCATATCAACTTTCAATGCCATTTACTGCACCTACCATGGTGACCATGGGTAACGGGGAATCAGGGTTCGATTCCTGAGTGGGAGCCTGAGAAACGGGTACACATGCAAGGAAGGCAGTAGGCGCGCAAATGACCCACTCTCGACGCGGGAAGGTAGTGACGACAAATAACAATACAGGACTCTTCAGAGGCCCTGTAATTGTAATGAGTCCACTTGAAATCCTTTAACTCTGATCAATTGGTGAGCAAGTCTGGTGCAGAGCGACTGACTCGTGCTTGCTGCAGCTGAAACTCCACTATTGCCTCCTGCTGCTCTCACAGTCTCATGAGGCGGTGAGCGGGAAGGCCGAAGTCACGCTGCAGCGCAGACAGGCGAGCAGCAGCAGAAGTTGAGGAGGAAGTGCGCAAGGAGGTGTAACGGTGCCTGGCATATTACCAAGAGCCACCCTCAGAGGAGATTGTCAGCAGGAACTTTTTGGAGGTGCAAGCCTATGTCCTTGCCAATAGACAGAGGGCAACCTACATGAAACCAGATGAAGGAAGAAGGGAGCAGAGGGTGCCGGGAAGCACAACCACCCTGGCCCACAAGCTACCATACAATACAACTCTTTAGAGGCCCTGTAATTGTAATGAGTCCACTTGAAATCCTTTAACTCTTATCAATTGGAGGGCAAGTCTGGTGCAGAGCGACTGACCCATGCGTGCTGCAGCTGAAACTCCACTATCACCTGCTGCTGCTCGCACAGTCTCTCCAGCATGTGCAAGGTGGAGTGCCCCCAAATTACAATATTGTTATATTGGTATTTGACGGTTCTATTTGACTTTCAGATATGAAGAGCACGCCCAAAATTGACTATTTAGCAGTTTAGCAGCAAAACAATTAGAATGTTTACAACTGTGCTGTAACCGCACTATTTGATGCTTCTATTTGACTCTCAGATATGAAGAGCGGGGCCCAAATTTACTATTTAGCAGATTAGCACCCAGAAAATAAGAATGTTTCAAACTGCGCTGTAAGCGCACTATTTGACGCTTCTATTTGACTCTCAGATATGAAGTGCACCCCACTAATGTACTTTTTAGCACCCAAAAAATGTAAAGTTTTCAAACTGCAATGTGACAGCAGTATTTGACGCTTCTATTTGACTCTCAGTTATGAAGTGAACTCCACTAATGTACTTTTTAGCACCCCAAAAATTTTAAGTCTTAAAACTGCAATGTGACAGCAAAATTTGACGCTTCTATTTGACTCTCAGATATGAAGTGCACCCCCTAATGTACTAGTTTGCAGAATTCTTTCTTAATCTGTCCCTAACAGCTGCAGCATCCTCTCCCTACACTAATTAGAGCTCATGTGGCATGCGGCGCTACGAGACTCCAAGCTTATATATAGAGGCTGGGTCACATGCTGCACTGGCCAATCACAGCCATGCCATTAGTAGGCATGGCTGTAATGGCTTCTAAGGGCACACGAGTCAAACGCTTGTTGATTGGCTGCCCTGCAGCCTTTCAAAACGCGCCATTAAATCGCCGAACCCTGAACTCCAACCCGAACATACAGTGATATGTCCGTGTTAGAGTCCGGGGTCCAAAAAACGTAATGTTCGGTACGAACCCAAACTTTACAGTTCGCTCAACTCTACTTATTACGAGACTCCATATGTATAAATTTTCTTCTGTTACGTGATGGGCTTTTTTTTATAATTTTTTGATTATTCTGATTTTTTTTTATTATTATTATTTTTGCACAGGTGTTTCCACTTTATGTTTTTTTGATTATTTATGCTTTAGGTGTTCATGAGGTACACCTGGGACTTCTCCTCACTATACGTTTTGCACTGTGCTTTCCTAGTGTGTATACTCTTCTTTGTTTGTATATTATTTTTGCATTGCTTAGAGTTACAAACATGATTGTACTGCCACGACAGCAGGTACTAGCTAATATGTAAAACAGGACCATCATCGGAAAAATACCCTTGAGGACCAATGTTGGTCCTGAACCGTGATAATGGTAATATTTACTTACCTGATCGCCGCCGTTTACCCCACCTCTATGTACCTATGCCATTTTCCTGTTCGAGTGATTTGATGTTGCCACGATAATCAGCACTTCCAGTTCAGTCCTTCCCGCCAATTTTCCAACAGCAGCCCACGGACCTGGCTCTCTGTCTCTCCGACCCAGCCTGCAGCTTCTCCGACCCGCCTTCAGTTCCTCCGACCCGGCTCCTGTATCACAGACGCAGGCTTTTGGTCACGAGACCCAGAATGCTTACTTATGGACTTGTGTGAACCTGTTCGCGGTGTTCCCATGTTTGGCCCCACCAAAGACAGGTATCGGCTCCCATTACGTTCGCATATACGTATACCGTTTGTTTGCTTTCGTTTAAAAATTAATGTGCTAATACTCACTGTGACGAACTGCCCTTCGCCACTTGGTCCTGGAGAGGCCTACTTGCCAGCCTCCTCCCCTGTGACTATGACTCTTTCATCTATCTGGCTTTAAAGAAACATCCAGTTTCTAGATTATACCATACAGTGATTAATTCATTAGTTGGTGTGGCGGAACAGACCTTGCCACATGTTCTTGGAGGGGGCTGCTTGCACGCCTCCTACCTTCTGACTATGGCCCTGGGATATATGGCATTTGAAAACACTATTTGTGCCCTATGACAAAACTGGAGATTGTGCACAAATATGACTATTGTCCATATTTTTTATGATTCCCTACGTTTGTTGCACTGTTCCCCATGTGTTTCATCTGTTGGTTCGGCTGGATAGACTACCAGACGAACTGTGGAGTTACTGGGTGGCCACGATTTCATGTACCAGAGGTACATGGTGAGAACAATGGATGAAGCACATGGTAAGAACAATGGATGGCGGCCATTTTAACTCACAGACACTGTTTTGACTTTTCTACACGGTGCCATCTCACCTGTATTTGGTGCACAAAGACATCGTTCAGTAGTTTTAAACTACAGAACAGGGGACACATTTAACAGTAATTATTTTTCATATAGCCTGTATATGTTCTGCGGAATCTGCATTAAACCGTATCTTCTATGTGGTTCACCCAGATCCACCAGTTATGAGGATATACTTTTTATGGGGTTATTGCATGTTTTGGGATCCTGTCATATGTTTTATAATACTGTATTTTTCTGCCTGTGATAATTAAGTTAGTCTATTGTCTGGCGATAATTGCATCACAGGCAGAGGGGAGGATTTCTACTGGGAATAGTTTACTTTATTGAACGTGTTGTAATGTTTGTATTGGTTCTTCTGAAAAACCCTGTGTGCGGTCCTGTATGTGTAAGACCTCCATAAAAGAAGGCCCTTTGGTGCTAATTAAACACAGTTCTTCCTGACCCTCAACACGTAGTCTTGTCTTGTGATTGGAGGGGACAGCTATACTCACACTGGGGATTGCTATCCTCTGCATACTCCCTTGAGCTTTAATCACTTAGCTCTTTTAAAAGCTGTTCCTGTTACTCTCTCCTGGAGGAGAGGTCTTCCCCACACGGTCCTCGAGGACAGAAGCTGATCCAGGGTGGACAGAAGACGGCAAGACTCCAGTTAAGCTACGGCGGTTGTGGAGTCTGCGGTGGTTTGGTGTCCATGTGCAATGCTTGTGGTCCTCGGCGCAAGCTAGGAAACGTCCATCAACGGAAGGTACTTGGTCGGAGTATGGGGAGTTCCGTTACAAGTACCTCTCTCGTTCCCACTAATCTTCACAGGTATACTGTAATCTCGTACTCTGTTCCTCTGTTTATAGATATCAGATCTACATTTATTACTCATTGTGATGAAGTGCCCTTCGCCACTTGTTCTTGGAGAGGTCTGCTTGCCAGCCTCTTGCCTTGTGACTATGGCCCCCGGGAAGTATTGCCATTTAAAAAGTCTGTTTGGGCTTATTGGATTTTGGGACACTTTTTCTGCCCCTTTGAATCCATGGGAAAGTGTGCCTCTTCCCCTCCCCCATTTCCTGTCCCAATGTTCTCCAGCAGGGCATTGTCCCAAGGACACTGCCAGACCAGTTGAAACTGGCTGCTTTGTCCCTCCTCAGTCTCTCATCAGCCCTTGCTATTGTTTAACCCCATGGCGATTTGACTGTGTCCGTGGGATCTGAGTGCTGTTCGGCTATATTGAGCGCTCAGATCCAATGTGGGGGTTCAGTTCTATAGAATATTAGTTATGTATTTGTATGTGTTTTGTTGCAGCTGTAACTTAGTGATATTTTCTGTACCTGGAGATAATTGAGTTTACTACAGTTACTTAAGCCAATTATCTCCAGGATAGAGGAGAAGATAGACCGGCTGCACTGCCTAAATCTGTGGAACTGTTTTGGGCATGAAAGCCATGCTTGTATCTTTAGGCTTTGATACATTATTAAGAAATTCCTTCTGCTCTGTATAGGTGTTGGTTTATTTCTGTTGTCTTGGTCTTGTTTTTGTTTTTCTTTGTGTATTCGATTAATTCTGTATAAATAAGAAGATTCTGCGTCAAATGCTTGATTGTATCATATTAACCGAATACTTCTTTGTATTGTTATTTGTCTATCAATTATGATATACTAAAAAATTTTGAATAAAAATTTATTATAAAAAAAAAAAGAAAGACATGCTTGTAGTCGGTCAAATAAGACTTCCATCTAACTTTTGAAGCACTGGACCAATTTGTATGATTTTTACATATGTTTCTATACTGCTTATGCTGGTTCAGAATATGTAAATTGCATGTATGGTTTGGAAGTTATGAATATTGTATAAAACTGTATATTTTCCTGCCTGTGATAATTGAGTTAACCCATTGTGTCCAGTACTTATATCACAGGCAAAGGGGAGGATTTGTGTGCTTTGGCTGGGAGTTTCTGACT